CAGTTGACATCCTTGCTGCAGATTAGACTAAAGGATTCATTGCATGAGTCAGGTTGAATGGAATCAGTCACCAGACATTCTGCCCTGTACAGTGTCCCTTTAGATTTTGAAAGTGAGTTTAGCTGCAGTTTGGGGGAATGAGCTTACCAAACATATTAATGACATTACATAACAGGGGCCAGGTTTATGCAGGCTTTGCTCACCATAATGGCACACTAAAGTTAGTGTCCCCTTTCAATATGAACACTCACTGATCAGCAACAAAGTCTGAATTAACTCAGGTCAAACTGATGAAAGTCATTAGGACTTTCTCTGACAATGGAGAAAGCAAAAGATAAAGTAATGCAGTCATTATGTCTGCCAGGAAATGGGAAAAGCCTGATGAGAGATAATCAAAATGCTTGAATTAAAAAGTGAATGGATTTTTCCAAAATGATTGTAGCATCTCTGATTTTATTTTCTGAATTAACACTTCATTGTTATGCTAAAGTGTGCGCACTACTCAATGGCTTCATCATTACCCTTAAACAGATTTAGGTAAACACCATTTTTCTCAATATTTTTATAATTCTTATCATGGTATGTGAAGGTCTTGCAGCTTCTAAAGCTTTCCCTTTACAAAGCACTTGTGAGGTGTGTGTTGCTATCCTACTTCTACAGGGAAATTGAGGTATATAGAGATGTAGGCATCTGTTCAGAAGTTTGGGTTCTTAAGCAGGAACTCTGGGTAAATCTCTACCAAGGTCTTTAAACTGTATTTGGTTCTAATAAGTCTAAAATCGTTATCATGTTGTGGGGAAAAAAAAAAAAAATAGAACCTGCAGGATGTTCTGTTTGAGGGTGGTGCTCTAGTTAGGTTGTACATCTCAGTGTGATAGAGATAATTATTCAGTCTTGATGTTGTTACCATTGTGGGAAGAAATATTTAGGGAAGTACGGAGTCACGTTTGTGAAGAAGATTCCACGATAGTTTCACTGGCAAATGTGACTGCAAAATTGTGAATTTTTGGAAACTAAGAGAAAGATCAGCGTAAGAACTGACACATAACCACCGGAATGGTTGTATGAGGTGCTTTATTGCAGCGCTGGGAAACCAGGGGCACGCGCCTAAATCTGGCTTCAATCCCGTCACATCATGCTCGCAATTTATACACTAAAATTGTCGTCACTAATACATATTCAACACAGATTACATCATTGACTAATACATATGTATCAAGGATTGCCACATCAGTCTATTACGACATCAGCCTCTTTTGCGCTTGCGCAGCCCCCCTCTGGTGGTCGTCCTGATGAAGTAAGAAGTCTTCCTCAGGTTGTCCTGTTCACCTTTCTGTTCCTTGGACATGTCCCAGTCATTATGTGGACGCCAGCATTCTCTTATTTTCACTTGACTACTCCTTGTACTTTCGTGAGTTCTGCTTTGGTAGAGTTTCACAATACTCCCCTAAATCCACCCATATACACTTCCTCATATATGGCTATGTTAATTGCTTATCATTATAGCTACCATTGTAATAGTTAGTTATAAAGTAACTAAGATACGCAATAGCAGAATTTCAACTTGTTCTTAATACAAAAGAAACCCTCTACTGATTAACAGATTTTCAAATATAATCATCTTTTCTCTTTGTACTATTGTTTCAATGCACAGTTTCACCTATTACTAACATTTCCCGCCTTTGAAAATACTTCATTTCAGCAAGTATTTTCATCCTTGATTTTAAGTTTCCGTCCCCCGATAGGTAGGCGGGGGTGTTGGATACTTTGGATATTCTCTTGTCACTGCTCCTATTATTTGATGAGTCCATGCACTGCTCCAGGCTATCTCCTTTCGGACACAAAGATACATTAGATATAGCATTATGAATACAATCAGTATCACAATTACAGTTTGCAAGAGGGAACGAATCCATCCTGTAAGGTGAAGGCCCAAACTATCGAAGAGTGCTCCAATCCAACTTTGTTCAATATACTCCTTCTCTTTTTCTTCTTCCTGTTCTATTTTGGTCAGTTGGGAAATATCTTATTCTATATTCACAGTTACGTTAGGAGTATGAATACAACAATGATCTATTCTGTCTTTCAAATATTCACAAACACCATGTTTTTTAATCAGTAACATATCCAATGCCATTCTGTTCTGCAAGGTCATTTTTGTTGTTGCTTGTAGATGTAAATTCAAATCTCTAAATCCTTTCTTTGTTATTCTGGCTAGTCTTTCTGTTTGACCAATCAGATTATAAATCATTTCTCTGTTTCGGTAGGTTGCAACCTGGGCAAATAGGGATTCTAAAGCCCATCCTACTTTGACTCCCGTGGAGGGTTCTTGCCAAGTATCTTCATCATCATCTATATCCCTTTTTTTTCGAATTTGTAGGGTTTCTAGCTTACCTTTAAATGGTGATTTCTTCCAAATTGGATAGAGTGTGGGTAATCCTAAAGTAATTTCTTCAACTGGACCTTCCATAGGTAAGTGGGTAGTCCAGGTCCCATCACTGATTGCCCAAACAAAATGTCCCATACTGTGTACTGTTGAGTATTTACAGCCTACAGTCTTGTCTGGAACATTAATTGTTCTTCCTCTTATTTTTAGTCCTCCACATGCACACCCAGCCATCAAGGCAACTTTAACTGGAAGTATTGCAATCTTTTCAGGGTCAGTATTACAATCCAGAATTCTTGTACAATTCCATCAGGGAACATTTTTAATAATTTCCCAACTAACTCCGTTCATTGATAGTAAATTCTTTATGTCCCCTGTTGTACTTTGTTTCCCCGTCCATCTAAGACACCAGGGTGTATCTCCACCATATTGAAATTTTTCCAGGATACTCATTGACCAGATCATATCCCAACTTTGTTTTGAATCATTCACCTTTTGGCATTCCCACATCTTTACTTGTCTCTTTACTTTAGTTTCTTTATCATAAATACATCTCCCAACTCCTCCTTCATAAGAGGTAAACTGAGAGTTTAGTTTCTTTTCACATAATGACTTTGTTATGGAAGTACCCAGAATACCTTCCTTATGATATTCTGTCGCCGTTATGTTCTTTGTCATTTCCTTCTCCTGACATGTAATTGTTTTATTAATTTCTGGAAGTGAGAACGTTATTATTCCCAATTCAATCAGTTCTCCGTCTGCTTTTGGTGTTGGTAAACATGCCGTTATTTTACTTGTATTTTACATTCTTGCAAAATCTCTGATTAGGCCTATCATTAAGTTTTCTTCAGGATCTTGGTGGGATATCTGGACTATTTGTGTTGGATCCACTGATCTTTTAATTCTTTTTCCTGTAACTTCAATTTCATTGTAGTCAATTGCAGATTCATAATTTGCTTTTACTCCATAGTTTTCTGCATAGCTGACGATTAATGTTTTTTCTGCATAATCTACACTTTCATTTGTTTTTATAACACATCTATATTTGCCCTGGTTCTCAAAAGTTAAGTTTGATAATTTTAATTCTACTTCCCCTGTATTTTGGTTCTGTCCATTGAGTCTATTTTTAACTTTACCTTTCAACTGCCATTTACCCTGTAGTTGAGTCTTATGTTTCTTACTGTCAAAGATAAGGTCTGGATATTGGGGAGGATTATTTACGTTTTCCCAAATTACCCTTATTGACATTGATCCTACCGGAATGGTGTCTGTGAACTTGCAGGTCACAATGGCATCTTGTCCTATGAGCCATGTCGAAATATTTTTCTCTTGAGGAATTTCTATAAAGGGGACAACCATCAACTGTGTTAATGACCAGACAACAATTAAAGTTTTGTAAATGAACCCAGACATCTTATTTACATTTCAGTTTCAACTTTGTAGGGCATAGTACCTGTGTTTCCCAAACCTTTGGAACTTTCTTCACTCGTGTATAATGTATCCAAGAATTTATTCCTTCTACCTTTACTGCAGTAAATGTTGTTAATAGCACTTGGTAAGGTCCGTCCCACCGTTCTTTTAATGGTTCTTCACTCCAGATTCAGATGTATGCTTGATCTCCCGGTTGAATATCATGCACTGGATTCTCTGGAGACAATGGTCTGTTCCATACCAGAGTACTTCTCAATCTGGTTAATGTTTTGCCTAGAGACAACACATAATTATAAACATCCTGATCTCCTTTAATGTGGGTACTAGGATTAGGTCCCGGTGCCTCATATGGTTTTCCATAGAGGATCTCATAGGGGCTCACTGTCATTCCACTTCTGGGTTTTATCCTGATTTGCAATAAATCTATAGGTAGTGCTTGTGGCTGTCTTATTTTGGCCTCCTGACATATTTTACTAATCTGTCTTTTTATCGTTTGGTTCATTCTTTCTACTTGCCTGCTAGACTGGGGTCTCTAAGGGGTATGTAAATTCCATGATATTCCCAACAATTTACTTACTTCCTGTACTATTGTTGCAATAAAGTGTGGACCTCTGTCTGATGATATTCCTAAAGGAACTCCAAACCGTGGAATGATTTCTTTGAGTAACCATTTTACTGTCTCCTTTGCTTTATTGGTGCGACAGGAAAGGGCTTCCGGCCATCCAGAAAAGGTGTCAACCCCTACCAACAGATATCTGTACCCTTGTACCTTTGGTAATTCCACAAAGTCAACCTGCCAATAATCTCCTGGTTCTGCCCCTATCCTGATCCTTCCCATTTCCACTTGTCTTTTTACCACTGGATTATTTTTCAAACAAATTTCACATTTTGATCCTACTGATTTTGCCATAGTTAACATCTGTGTGGAAGTTATTCCTCATCTTAAATAAGTTACCAGTGCTTCTGCACCCCAATGGCATTTCTGATGTTCAGTTTGCAGAATTTTTCGCATTATTGCTGGGGGTACTATTACTTGTCCAGTTGTTGTCGTATACCGCCCTTCAGAATTCTTTTGAGCCTTTAAAAGTCCTGCCAACTTTTCATCTTCTTTTGAGTATTTTGGGTGTTCTGAAAGATACGTATGGAGTGGGCTTACCTTAAGAGGTATCAAGGCCATCGTGTTCTATACCTTCCGAGCTATTTGCCAAGCTGTCCGATCGGCCAGTGTATTTCCTTCTGGTATCTTTGACGTTCCTCCTTGGTGTGCTTTGCAATGCATAATAGCCACCTGTTTAGGCTTTTGTACAGCAGTTATTAATTCCAAATTTCCTTTTGATATTTTATATTAGTTCCTTGTGAAGACAACAGTCCTTGTTCCTTACATAATGCTCGGTGTATGTGTACTACACCAAATGCATATTTTGAATCAGTCCATACATTTACCTTTTTGTCATTACTCAGTTCTAATGCTCTTATGAGAGCTATCAGTTCCACCCATTGAGCTGATGTTCCAGGAGGCAATGCTTTTGCTTCAATTACCTCCTGTTGCATTGTCACAGCATATCCTGCATACCGTGTCCCGTTCTCCACAAAAGTGCTTCCATCTGTGAAAAGTTCCCAGTCTGGTTGCTCAAGAGGTACATCTTTCAAGTCTGTCCTGGTTGCATATGTATGTTCGATAACCTCTATACAGTTATGTTCAAGGGTTCCTTCTTCTAGATCAGTTCCTAGAAAAGCTGCTGGGTTCAGCAGGTTAGTGGTTTTTAAACTCACATCATCTTGTTCTGTTAAGATTGCTTGATACTTCATCATTCTACTGGGGGATAACCAATACCCCCCTTTTTGTTCTAAAACAGTCGTTACCATGTGTGGTACAAACACTTCAATATGTTTTCCCAAAGTCAATTTTCTGCCCTCCTGTATCAGAACAACAGTTGCTGCTACTGCTCTTAAACATGAAGGCCATCCCACACTTACCGGATGCAGCTGTTTCGAAAAATATCCCACTGGTCTCTTCCAGCTTCCCAGTTTCTGGGTTAATACTCCCAGTGCTAATCTCTGTCTCTCATGGACAAATAACTGAAAGTCCTTTGTCAAGTCCGGGAGTCCCAGTGCCGGGGATTTCATTAATGCCTCCTTCAGTTTTTTAAAGGCCTCTTTCTGTGGTTTATCCCAAACAAAACCAGGTGCTTTCTGGGCTTCATATAGGGGTTTAGCAATAAGTCCATAGCCCATTATCCACAATCTGCACCACCCTGCCATGCTCAGAAAGGTTCTTAACTTGTGTAGATTCCGTGGTTCTGGAATGGCACAAATTGCCTCTATACGATTTATTCCCAGTTTTCGCTGCCCCTGCGAAATTTCACATCCCAGATACAGTACAGTCATGCATGCAATTTGTGCCTTTTCTTTTGAGACCTTATAACCACTCAAGCCTAACTGATTCAGAATTTCAATTGTTATCTTTATGCACAGGGACTCTTGCTCTGTTGCAATAAAAATGTCATCCACATACTGCAGCAAAAGGTATTGTGATCTTGGTACCTGTATTTTTCCTTGAGTGGTCCATGCTTCCAATTCCTTGGCTAGTTGGTTCCCGAATAAGGTTGGACTGTTCTTGAATCCTTGTGGAAGTCTGGTCCATGTTAGTTGTGTCTTTCATCCATTCTGTGGATTTTCCCATTCAAACGCAAATAATTTCCTACTACTTTTGTCAAGGGGAATGCAGAAGAAGGCATCTTTTAAATCAATTACTGTAAACCACTTTTCCTTCACAGATGTTAGCAATGTATAGGGATTTGCTACTACTGGGTGGATATCCTTTGTTATTTCATTTATAGCCCTCAGATCTTGTACTAACCTATACTCGCCATTTGGCTTTTTTACTGGAAATATTGGTGCATTGTATTCTGATTCACACTCTTCCAAAATTTTATATTTTAGAAATTTCTCAATTGTTTTTATAATTCCATATCTTGCTTCTAGTTTCAATGGGTATTGTTTAATTGTTACTGGTCTAGCTCCATCCTTAAGTTCCACTGTTACTGGTTGAGCTGCTTTTGATTTCCCCAGAATTTCTGTCTCCCAGACTGTCGGTATCACAGCCTGTTCTACCTCCTCTGGGATTTGAGCAATAGGCTTATCTTTAAGGACCAAAATTTGTCCTGTTTTTGATTCCGGAATTTGCATTATTAACTCACCATTTTCAAAAATGATTGTTGTATCTAATTTAGCTAGTAAGTCCCGTCCCAGAAGGGAAATAGGGCATTCAGGCACATGTAAAAATTCGTGTGTTAATTCCTTCCCTCTGAATCGCAAGTCTAGGGGCTGCAAGAACGGCCGTACTTCTTCCTTCCCTGTGGCTCCTACAACTGTTGTCTTTTTCCCTAATCTTCCATGTAAGTTATTTAAAACTGAATATGTGGCCCCTGTATCTACTAGAAACTTTACTTCTTTATTTCCCAATTGAATTTTTACAAGGGGCTCCTCGTTTCCCACTCCACCTAGTCAGCTTTGATTATCATACTCTCCCAATAACATCACTTTAGCTGCCTCTGATCCTGCAAAAGGATTCCTGGGGGACGTAAATTGTCCTCCCCTCAATGGAAATTCATTTTTCCAATGTCCTTGTTTGCAATTTGCACACTGATTATATCCTAACCTTCCTGTATTCATTCCGGTCCTAGGATTATAGAATCCTCTTCCCCGGCCTCGTCCTCATATATTTCCTCGACTCCTTCCCCTAGGATTAGAGAGACTGTTCTCTTTCCTGTATCACTGCCAGTAAATTTTGTTGCTGTCTCCGGGAGCTCTCTTTTTCCCGATTATTATACACTTTCCAAGCCACCTCTAATCCAAGTTTCGCAGGTCTGCTCCCTCCAGCTTCTTCAGCTTTTTCCTGATATCATCTTATGATTGTCCTAAGAAAATTAAAGCCAATTGAGCTCTAGCCTATTCAGTTTCTACATCCAAATCCATATACTTCTTTGCAGTTTCTTTAAGCCTTTCTAGAAAGGTAGATGGTGATTCCGTCTTTTCCTGCCTAACATTATATAATTTTGACCAATTTATTGTTTTGGGCATCGCATTCCATACCCCAATGATTACCCAATCTTGGTACCTTCGTAAATTCCTCATTCCCCCTGGTGAGTTATAATCCCATATTGGATCTTCCATCGGAAAGTTCTGATCTAGATTTCCCATGACTAGCCCCTGTCTGATATCCTCCCAAACCCTCTCCCTAGCTGTTCGCAATACCATTTCCTTTTCTGTTGAATCCATAAGAGTATCTAAAAGTACTTGGATGTCATCCCAGTCTGGATTCTGGGGTTTCATAATCATTTTCATTACTGGAGCTACTTTATCAGGGTTTTCTCTATATGTCCCTGCTGACTGTTTCCAGATAACCAAATCCCCTGGGGAAAAGTGTACCTTAACATGTACTGGTCCTTCCCTTCCTACTCCCTGTCTTAAGGGTGCAAGCACTGCATTGGGCGCCTGAGCCTGTACCTTTCTTTCCCATCCTCCCCTCTGATGAGTTCGGTGTGAAACTGGAGTAGCAGGGAGATCTGCCCTCTGACCTTCTTTACATTCATAGTCGCTCTCACTATCACTATCACTATCGTCCTCCTTCCTCTTCCCTCCATTTGTTGCCAGCAGGGCTGTCGGAGCTGTTACTAAATCAAGATTTTCATCATCCCTCTGGTGCTGCAACTATTTTCTAAGGCAAGACACCCAATACACCTTTTTCCCGCAACACACCCCTTACGTTGTTCATTTGTACTCATTTTAACAACCATAAGTCCGCAAGATTTTTGCCATTCCTCATTATTTCTTAAAGCAAAGAATAGATCCACATATGGTACCTCATCCCATTTTCCTTCCCTTTTACAATATAACATCAACTGCAATATAGTATTGTACTGTAAAGTCCCATTTTCAAGCCATTTCTCCTGATCCTCTAGTTCATACTGTGTCCACCATACATTACAGTAATCAACTAGTTTACTTTTTTTCATACTCTGCCTGAATTGACCCTCCTTCCAGTGGCTTAAAAGACAGCCTAACGGGGATGACTTAGGGATCGACGACATTTTATAAATACAAAGAGATCTCTAAAACAAGTTTCTTCCACCACTGAGTTACAATGTCTAGCTAGACAGATCCTGATCCTGCAGCACAAAACCAAACCAAAAAACAGACCAGATTTGCCGAACCGGCAGAGCTTTCGCTACTGTCTAACGGACGGTGCCTAGGCTTACCCTGGGAGCTCCCTGCCCAACCAAGCACAGCTTTCGCCGCATCTAACAGGCAGGCTTTACCAGACAGACTTCGCCAAACCGAATGCAGCTTTCACCGCGTCTAACAGGCAGGCTTATCAGAAGTCGGTACACTACACGCTATCGAATATTGGTACCGTAACCAAATTAAAAAAAGCACCTTCTTACTGTATCAGTGGTCCGTAGTGAGCAGCAGAGGTCGGTCGCGGCTGATGGCTCCTCGAGAAGCTCTCGGTGCCAGCTGGAGCAGGATCAAGACACGATCCGCCTCAGCAATGCCCGCGAGGTCCCATCTGGGTCACCAAAATGTTAGCGTAAGAACTGACACATAACCACCGGAATGGTTGTATGAGGTGCTTTATTGCAGCGCTGGGAAACCAAGGGCACGCGCCCAAATCTGGCTTCAACCCCGTCACATCGTGCTTGCAATTTATACACTGAAAATGTCGTCACTAATACATATTCAACACAGATTACATCATTGACTAATACATATGTATCAAGGATTGCCACATCAGTCTATTACGACATAAGCCTCTTTTGCGCTTGCGCAGCCCCCCTCTGGTGGTCGTCCTGATGAAGTAAGAAGTCTTCCTCAGGTTGTCCTGTTCACCTTTCTGTTCCTTGGACATGTCCCAGTCATTATGTGGACGCCAGCATTCTCTTATTTTCACTTGACTACTCCTTGTACTTTCGTGAGTTCTGCTTTGGTAGAGTTTCACAATACTCCCCTAAATCCACCCATATACACTTCCCCATATATGGCTATGTTAATTGCTTATCATTATAGCTACCATTGTAATATTTAGTTATAAAGTAACTAAGATACGCAATAGCAGAATTTCAACTCGTTCTTAATACAAAAGAAACCCTCTACTGATTAACAGATTTTCAAATATAATCATCTTTTCTCCTTGTACTATTGTTTCAATGCACAGTTTCACCTATTACTAACAGTTCTACATTCTACATTATATAAATTTTGAAAACATGTTAAATAGAGATACTGACAGTTATCTTCCTCTGGTTTATTTTTACACCACCTCTCTATCACAAGACCACTACAAATATCCTGAGAACATCTAAGCGTTTAGCCAACAGGTTCTGAGAACATTCAAAAACCTTGGGCTCATTACCAATACATAGAATGGTCTTTACATCAGCAGAATCTTGAGACCTTCTGAAGAGAGACTTCCCTCCACCTCACCTCAATTTTATTTTACTGTTTTATTTTCTGGACAACTGTCCACAGCCATTTTAAATTCAATGCTAGAGGGAGAGCTAACGTACAATTCTTCCACTAATAGGATACAAATAGGTGATTAAGGATTATACTTTGGGCTTTATGTCTGGTAACCCCTATGTAATTGAAAATTCTGCTCTATTCTTGCCCAAATAGTGTTTTTTATTATTTGCATTTGTTGACCTAGGAGAGGACTAAACACTTTGTGTTTGGTTTCTCAAATAGATAATTTTTTGTGACCTGGTGCTATCTTAAATCTCAGCTTAGAGGAACTGGACTCTAAGAGAATTTTGCAGTAGAGTACAAACACAGGCAGCAGCATTGTCTGTGCTGTTCTCAATGTTGTTGATATAAAAATAAAACTTTAGGTGATGAACACTAAAATTAAATAATATTCAGACTAGTTCAAGAGGAGGGAAGAAGGGATTCTTTATCACAATGAGCTGGTGTAACCACCTCCTTGCTGAAAGAAAAGCCTTTCGGAAGTGCTCCCATGCTGTTGTGAACTGCATCCAAGAATTGTTGATAACTGCTAAAGGACAATAATAAAAAAACCCAACCAAACTAACTAGGAGCACAGGTCTTGGGAGATACACACAGATCTAAATTTTAATTTTATAGACATGAATGTTTACAGAACTATTGCTATTGCTATAAAAATTAAAAAAAAATCAAAGAATTCTTGTGTATTCTCATATCATGATGCCTTCAATACTTTACCTTTTACTAATAAAGCCTGAGCATAGTCAAGTCTTAAAAAACAGTATCTTTGTCTGTACTCATGGTACATCGATGTATTTATATGTGTCTCGCACCCAAGCACCAAATCTGAGAAAACATAGACAAGAAACTCAGCACATTCTCAC